CATCTTTATAATATTTTGATTTCTTTTTTTTAACAGATTATTTTTTGAACCTGATTAAAGAGTTTGATCAATTTTCGGCGATGGAGAGTCTCAAGTACTATTGTTTTGCTTTTTCGATCAAATCTTCGAGGTTACACCTACAATTTATGTTTTGGTTTTTTTTNNTTNTTTTNNNTTTGTTCTATTACATAGAGATTCAGTACGTTGGCCATATTATAATCCATTCTTATTCCATAAGTAACTACAACATACATACGTACATGCACAAAACTAAATTATTGATATACGTACATGCTCAAAACTAAATATTATAATTTATGTATACCAACTACAATGATTATTCATTATAAAATTCAGTACTTAACATACTTATTCTCTACCTTCAAAAAAAAAAAAAACCAATCATACTTTTTCAAAATAATCGATTCTACTTACAAACTAAAACAATACATATCACACTTTGAACATATTATATACGACACAATCCAAAATTATAGTTTACAACATAAAAACGAATGTTCCCGCACAAAATACGGGTGAGAATCTAGTTTAAGTTATTTTTGCACACACAAAAAAAAAAATTATCTTTGCCAATTTATTTTCTGGTGAATTAGGTGTTAATTTACCCGCAAGTGAAAGTGAAAAAAAAAAATAGTTAACAATAAACTTCCATAGCAACACCATTTTACATATCTCATATGTAAAGAAAAAACACTATGTATTATCTCTCCTCTCTAAAGAATCCCATTGTCTACAATTTACATTACTATCTTATGAATAACCCTTACTCCTTACTGGTTCTATCAGCAAAAAAAATTTGCAAGGTCCCAAAAATCATATGCCGAAAGAATCAGGACATGCTTAAGTATGTGTGTGAATCCTTGAAGCTTTAAGATCATCATATCATGGAATCTGCAAAATCAGATCTTTGCGCGTTTTAGCTGCGAGTAGACATCATTAACTTCTAACTCTCTCTTGTGCATAATGATATTGTTGAAAGCTTTCTCCTCAGCTTTCATTAGAGAATCTCTTAATCTCTTCACATCAGCCAATTTCACAGGCTTCAATAAGAAATCTTCAGCACCTTCTTCAAGACATCTGAATAAATCACAAATATTAGTAATCCAAATACATAAAGTTGGTAGCTTTGGATCCAGAAGATGGCCAACTCATATTTGATTTGATAACAGTAATAAGCAACTATGAGACTTAATTTTTGGTAAAAGTGGGTTCCTTAGAAATAAGCAAAAGCATGTGAGGTGTCTACTAGACACGAGGATGAGATTTTATAATGACCCTACCTAAGATTATGCAGACAATTAAAGCATATACTTATCTAATTTTGTTTTGGAAGGTTTGTAACACATCACCACCGGCAATAGAATCAAATCTCAAGAGAAGATCTTGCTTAACTTATGATGGATTATTCTTTTCTTATTCTGTGGCCACACGAAACAATTTTTATTTTAATTATATATTCCTAAAATCCATTAGAAAATTTATTAAAATCTTTTAAGGACCCACTAAAAGAACACCAAAATATGCAACCACCACCATTGATGGTTAAAGAAATCATATTATACTTTTCATCATGCAAATCCGATATGATTATACAACGATTTAATTTGGTCAAATCCATATCGATTAAAGCTAATCTTTTTTCACAAATCCTAAATAGTGTGATTACTTAAAAGTTTCCTAAACAAATATCCTTGTTCTAATCATCCGAATCTCTCCTGAGGTAATAAATGCACAAAAATTATGAAAATTGCTTACTATAACTAGTAAATCTTAATCTTACGTGATTAAGGGGGAAATATACCTATCGATACGAGGCAAGATGTTCTCTGACGACATAATCACCACTGGTATTTCTCTGAAAGCTGATGATTCCTATGAAATTCAAAATCCGTAAAACAGAGTTAGCACTTTTGTTTTTTTTTTTTTGTCAAATCAATGGGGAAAAAAATTCGATAAACGTACTTTGATCTTCTTCAATAGTTCATAACCAGTCATCCCAGGCATAGAGTAATCAGTCATTATAAGATTAATCTTCAAATCCTGAAAATATTCCAAAAATTACACTCACAATTTCAATGGTTTCTCTAAAAAAACTAGTATATATACACTTGGATCATCAGATCTATTTACCTCAAATCCAACAGTGTTATTCTCTCCATCTAATCCAAGATACTGCAAAGCTCTCGTCGCACTATCCACAACAGTAACTGATAAAATTTAAAAACATTGTCAGATTTCGAAAACCAAACAGAATCCACAAAGAAAACGATGAAACAGAACACGACCGTACCTTTACACGACGAGACTCTAAGTAACCGCTCGATGAATTTCCGATCGACGATGCTATCGTCGACGGCGAGAACATGAAGAAGCTCGGGAGATGCTAAAGACGAAGTGTCGTTGGAGATCTCTAACTTCTCAGGAAGCATAACCTCAGCCATATCAAAGGAGAGATCTAGAATCAACTTGGAATCGAGAGAGAGAGAGATTTGGTTTTGGAATCGACGATTGAATGATTTGGGAGGAGGAGATGTGTGATTTATAAGGAACAAGGGGGGAAAAAGAGAGGGAAAATAAATATGATATGGAGAGATTCTGAGAGATCTTTGCATATCTGTGGGATTTTGCTTGTCGATAGCGCGTGGAAAATATTTGTTTATTCTCTTTCCAAAAAGTCATATTCAAATTTGGCAAAGAAGAAAATTAAATAATACTATCATGTAATAAAGTTTAGAGGGGAAAAAAATATCAAAAGTGATACAGTTTATATATATTCTTAGATGGAATAGTCAAATAATGGTGAGTGGTGAAATCATATGATATTCAGGAAGAAAAATCAATTTGGAAAATCGTATCACGACGATCTTCTCGATTATTGTGTCATATCAAGGAAATTTGATTTCGTATCTTCTTCAATTTTCCATTTT